GATGATTTTTCTCTCCTTCCTGATCACCCTAGTCTTCTCAAGGGTGTGACCACCCTGCCAAGCCTGGGCAGGTGCAGGGGCTCAGCCTGGCAGTGCATGGGGTGCATGGATGCAGCAGCAGTGCATGGGGTGAGCTCAGAATGAGATGCTCTCCCCCTGAGCCCCAGCAGGCAGGGCAGGAATGAGGCAGGCTGGCATCATACCAGAAAGATGGGGCTGCTCTAGGGCTCTGCTTTGCAGCCCCTAGAGATTTGTAAGCTGCTGGAGGTTTCTGGGCCATCAATTATTTAATTCCCTCCAGTCATGTGGTCTTCATTTGAGTGCACCAGCCCCGGCGTGGGGGCAGCAGGGCTGGGCAGGGGGATGCAGTGCTGGCAGGGAGGAGCACACGGGGCTGATGCCATCCAGAGTATGGAGCCGAGGGCTTTTCTTCCAATCTCCCGTGGTAGCCCTGGGGAAGTTGCAGCTCTGCTCCATGCCTCAACTTCCCCACCGGTGAAACGGGTTCAAAGATTTCATGTCCGAACTTTGGGGAAACAGACTGCGTGCTGCCGCAGCTCACAAACACAAGTGCTCTGCAGTAAAACGCCAAAACAGGGCCCTGCTACAATGCCACTGGGTAGGTTGCTTGAGGTCCTTTTTCACCCCTCGTGGGCCCCCATTTGCTGCCTGCGTTCTCGAGCTCAGCCAGGCGGGCACGGCGCGGCGGGGCGGGCAGGAATGGCAAGCTGCGACAGGCGGGGAGGCTGGAGCTGGGTAGGTGTGTCTCTGTTACCCAATAAATAATACAAGCCCTAAAGCAGCCCATTGTAATTACAGGGGCCCCGCGCGGATTGAAAGCGAAAAGAGGAGAAAAAAGGAAATCGAGGTTCTGCCTTTCCAAGGAAGGGAGCGCTCTGCTGGGAAAGCAATGGAGGGGAGCAGTGATTTATATCTCTCCAGAGGAATTCTTCTTCCCGGGGCCGCCCCGAGCGCCAAACCGCCGCCAGGTTCAGCTGAGTTTCTAATCTGAATATTCATGAGGCAGTAATTAATTCTCAGATAACGATCCAGATTCAGGGTTGGTTTTGCCAGCGTGTGCGTGCGTGCGTGCGTATGCGCGCCTTCTCCCAGGTGTGCAGACGCGGCAAGGAGGGACGAGAGGAGCGCACAGTGGCTGACATGTGGCCGTCCCTACAGGACGACGTCCTCCAGAACCCAGTGGCCTACGGGAAGGGACAAGGAGGACAGCACGCCACGGGGCTGTATGCTGGCTGTGATCCCTGCCCCACTGCACATCCAGCTCCGTGTGAGCGCAGGAAGCGTTCTCCCTCCTGCTAAGCAGATGGCAAAGACCTCGTGTTCGCAAAGCGCTGGGAGAGGCAAAGAGGGAGGGTCTGGCCTCGCCCCCTCCCTCCCATCTTCCTCTCTTTAAATCTCTAATGTGCAGCACTTTAAGCACTGGGGCAGGAGCCCCAAGGAGCGAAACTGCATCTCTGGCCCAAGGCCCAGGCCCTGAATGGGTGTGGGTGTGTGATCTCAGTGCGATGCCCCCAGCTCAATCCATACTGCTGCTCACTCAGGCTTAGAATCACAGCCGACCTTCAAACAGGGGGAAAAGAAACAGAATATTGATTAAACAATAATGAAAAACAAAGTAAAACAACTTCTTCCCAGATGCAGCGAGCCTGCATGCACCCTGCTGCATGTGTCTCGTCCCCCTGCCTTCAGAGCAGTCTGCCCCGATGCCCTGCTCACCCTTCTCTGGAGGGAAAGGCAATAATCAGCTTTGCTGCCTCTAAAACCAGCTGGGGGCCCGACACGCAGCCGGGCAGGGAAGGACAGGGCTCTGAGCCCCATCCCCTGGAGCACAGTGCCTTGGCATGACAGCATGATGTCTCTTGTCCCTCTAGGTCATGTCCCTAGACTACATGAAGGAAGAAGCAAGAGAAGCAGCAGCACCAGCGTGTTTTGCTACCTTGCTGTCAGCACCCATCTAGGGGAGGCAGAAAGCCTCTTGGTCATCCAAGGCCATGGTCTTTTGGCTAACCAAGGTAGTGGCGCCACTGAGAAGTCACTGAGTATCTTGGACATTGTGGGATCATAATGTTATTGCCTGCTGGCTTCAGGGGGCCTGAAGAGGCCAAGCGCCCTTTTCTACATCCTCTGTTTGCAGGGGATTAGCCTCCCTGCAAGCTGTCCTGTCGCAGGGCTCCTCTTGGAGGTGGACGTCGATGGGATGGTGCCATGTCCCATAGAGCAGCCAAATGTCCTCCTGCCAAGAGAGCCCTGCAAACTCTCCTGGCCCTGTTAGCATGGAGTTGGGAGACAGCAGTGAGTCAGAGCCCGGTGTTGTAATGCGTATAAGAGCAGGGACGGTCATAAGCTAGAGCGCAGGGCCCGCCTGGGCCTTTTGCAATCCCCTGGGGAAAGGCGAAAGCCATGTTTCCATACTTTAATTAAAGGCAGTGCAGAGACCTGGGATCTCTACGGGAACACAGAGGTTGGCCCCGTCTGGGCTGGAGCGTCCCCACTGTCTCTCAGAGATGCTTTTTGTACCCATGGGACACGGTGCCACGGGCATCAGAGACAGAAGATGAAACAGCCAGGATGTCATCTCTGCCGGCCTCGTGTCCCGCATCCACAGCCTGACCTAGAAACACGTCTCGTGCCGGAGCGCAGCGATGCTGCAGGCTCATCCCTCTGTTTTTCCAGCGCAGCTGAGTGACAGTCGCCCCTCCCCTGCCTCTCCAATGAGCATAATGAGAATCTCCTCCGAGGAGCAGCTTGCTGCGATGAAATAATCGCCTGAGCAGCAGGATCTTCGGCAGGGATTAAGCAGAACAGCTACTTGCTGAGCTGGGGAAACGGCCGGCGAGGGGGGAAAACTCCACTCTCGCCATCCACCAGAGCCACAGCCATGAGGTGCGGGCACAGCCTGGAAACTTCCGTCCCACTGCCGGGGGCACGGCTCTACAGTCCCTCCAACTCCTCCTCCTCCCGCTGAGCCGTTCCCCAGCCGGGCGGGCGGGAGGGGTGGAGGAGAGGTGAAGCAGCAGCTGCCTTTTACAGGCAACAGTTTTTTTTGTGGCGGTGGTGTTTCCTTTTGGACCGCTGAGGCAGAAAATGCCGAGCTGCGGCAGCCTCCCAGCGCCTCACACGCACGGGCGGGCACCCGGCGGGGTGGAAGGCTCCGTGTGGGTTTCCTAGGGATTTAATCGTTTTGTTTGGTTTTCCTTCCCCTCTCTGCTTTCTGTGGGATCTCGGCACGACCCTCCCCTGAGGATTCCTCCTTTTCTGCCTCAAATCTCCCACATCCCATTTTTAAACCGTTCCTCTCTCTCCAAGTATTCTTGAAACGTGGGAACCGAGCCCGAAGGAACATCCCTTTTTTGAGGAGAGCACATGCGTTAAAGCCAAGTTATGCTTTATTTTAGGGGATGTGCTTAGTGCTTTTTTTTTTTTTTCTTTTTCCTTTGGGATGACCCAGCGGCCACCAGGCCCAGCCTGGCTGTGGTACAGGGAGAGGGCAGAGGGCTGCAATCCCACTCAGCCATGCCACGAGCACGAGGGAAATGCTGTCCTCATGGCTCTTCCCCGAACCCCACTATGTCCACCCCACTGAGATGAAGGACGCCGAATCAGAGGACAAAAGTCCTCCGCCACTGCATTGCAAATGGGGACAATTTCGGGGCAGAACACAGCACCCCGTGTCCTTAGGGCCCCTCAGGACCTCTCAGCCAGCTGCCCCCCGTTCCGCTCCACGAATCCGTGAAGAGCGCGCTCCGGGCTTTCAAACTCACTCTGTTTTAGACAGGCAAACGCTTCAGCCAATAAGAGGCCGCAAAGCGTCAACACTGCGTTCGCTCTACTTCATCAGCCAATCCACGTCGCGCAAACGCTATATCCCGCCCTCCGAGGACAGAGCTCCGCCGTCTGTTGGCGGCCATCTTGAGTGTGGCAGAGTCGCTGCTCCGTCCCAGGGGGCTTTTTTTCATTTCTTCATCCTTTTTTTCGCGCCGTCCGTACCGGGGATCGTTGAGTCGCGTCACCGGCGTACCCGAGGGGCTTTTGTTGGCAGAGGAGCGGCTCCCGAGGAGCGGTGGAGCCGTGTAATAGCTCCACGAAGGGCTCCCGGCGCCATCTTGAGTGTGGCAAAACTCCCTCACTCGGTGCGCCGGTGCACCCCGTTATCCCGAACGGGACGCCTGAGTGGGGGGGAGGGGGGGGTAACCGCGGGGCCACGGTACTCGCAGCCCCGTGTAACGGCGGGGAGAGTGCGGGAAAGCCCCCAGCGCGAGTCAAACCCCGGCCCCCGCCGAAGACGCGGGAACGCGTGAGGGGAGAGCGAGGGTGAGGCGGTGTTTTGTTGTTTGGTACAAAAATCAGCGAATCGCCGGGAATCCCAAATTTCTGCGTCATCCCGGGGGGCAGCTCTGCCCCCACCCCGCCGGCGGTTGTTGTGGCCGAGGTGGCGGCGGCGGAGCCGCGCGGTGATACCGCGGGCTGAAAGAGTCCCGCAGAGCCGTGCGAGGGCGGCGTGTGTCCGGGGGGCCGCACCGCTTCACCCGCAGTATGGCTCTTATTATTATTTTTAACTCCTATTATTTTTTTCCGCCATGCGGGCGGCGCTGCGGCGGGAGATGGAAGCTGAGAGCCGAGGGGGGAGAAGGGGGGGAGACCGCTCCCTCCTCTCCGCCTCACACGGCGCGGGGCGGGGCGGGGAGGAGGTGGCGGGGGCGGAGGCAGCACGGAGGGGAGGGGAAGGGGTGGAGCGTGGCCGCACTCCGCGCCTCGCCCACGCTGAGGCCGGGCGCGAACTCATCACCGCAGTGGCGGTGGGCGCCTGCCGCTTTAAGCGGCCGTGCCCATTGTTTGAGCCGCGGCCAATGGGAGCGGGCGGCCGCGGCGCGCGCGGCCAATGGGAGCGGCGCGGGGCAGCGCGCGCGCCGCCCCCGGCTCTATAAGAGGGGCCGTGGCGCCGCGTGAGTCCCCACTGGCTCGCGCAAAGCCATCTTGGCATTGTTCTGCCCGCGCCGCCGCCCGCGCCGCCACAGCCCCGCGCCCCGCACGCCCCCGCCATGTCCGACACGGCCGTGGACACCAGCGCCGAGATCTGCGCCAAGGTGAGCCCCGCTGCGCGCCTCGCCTTGCGCGGCTCTTTTCCGCTTTGCTTTTATTTTTACCTTTTTTTCTTTTTTATTTTTTTTTCTCCCCCCCCGCGCAAACGTGCCATTCTCATTTAAGGCTTTTTAATTTTTTTTTTTTTTTTAAGTTTATGCATTTTTTTTTTTTTTTTTTTTTTTTTAATTATTTCCTCTCCGCCCCCGCTCTTTGCGCTCCGCGATTCGGCGCGGATCTTCCGTCGCCGCCGCCGCTGTGCGCTGCCGCGCGGAGCTGCCCGCGCCGCGTTCCTTTGTCTCCCGCGTGCGGGAAACGTGCTCGGGCCCCGCGCCGCGTTGCTCCGCGCCGGGGCCGTCCCGCGCCGGGGGGTCGGGAAGGGGGGCGGGGGGGCGCGCAGCGCTCGATTCGTTCTGTTGGCAGCGGGGACTGACAGCGCCGGCAAACTTGAGGATGTTCGTCGGGATATTTTTTTTTTTTTTTTTTTTTTTTTTTTTTTGGGTGGGGGATGACAGACTGAGTGGCGTGGATCTCTCTAGGATGGGGAGAAGGGGTGGACGCTGCTTGTGGAGTTGGTCCGAAAAAACGAGCCGGGCGGGCGGGGTGTTCCGCCAGCGGTGCGTGTGGATGGGGACACCCGGGGCTGCGGGGAGCGCTTGGGAGTACGGTGGTGTTCTTAGCCCTGGGCCTGGGGGAGCCCCGGGGTTGCGGAGAGGCGCTCCCGCGGGGCCCCGCCACGATCCCGGCGCCCGCCTTTGTCTGCGGGCGTCCCCGGGGGCACGGCGGACCCGGGCTGTGGTTCCCACCGGGCAGCGTGCCGCGGTCCGCGCTGCCGTTGTGCCGAGGGGAAGTTGCGGGGGGATCCGGGTGCGTGCGTGGGAAGGCGGAGGGGGATGGTTTGGCCGTTCCCCGGCCGGTACCGGTCACCGGGTCGTGGCCGCTCCCGGGGGAGAGTGGGGCTGGAAGCGAGGAAGGGGGAAAAACATCTCAAAGGGAGTTGTGTGGTTTTTTTTTTTTTGTTGTTGTTGTTGTTGTTGTTGTTAAAGCCCCGCGTTGGACGGATTTCGATTTCACTTCTGTTTCCCGCTCATAGCCGCATGCCGCCCCCGCTCTGCCCCCGCCGCTGCTCGTTACACCGGGCCGAGGCGGGTCGGGAACCCCCACCTACTGTGGGGCCGAGTTCGCCGTTAACCTTCCCCTGCCCTTTATCGGCGCGGGGGCTGCGTCCGCTCCGGCGCGTTCTCCAGGGGCGCAGCGGCAAGGTGACCCCCCCCCCCTCCTTCCGCTGCCGGCCCTTAGATACTCGGCGTCCGGCGACTGCTCTCTCTAGGAGGGCGGGCAGGGGGGTCCCGCCCTGCCCGGGCGGCGGCTCCGCGCCGAGCGCCGCCCCCGGCCGCCGCCGTGCCGCGGGGCGCCCACCACGTGCGGCCCTGCCCGCGCTGCCCGCTGGGAGCTGAAGTCCGCCCGGGACTACATTTCCCAGAGTGCTTTGGGGCGCCGAGCCGGCGCGTTGGCGGGCGGCCAATGAGAGGACGCGGAGAGTGGCGCGCGGTTTGAAAGGCGGCGGGGCGCGTGGCGGGAACGGCGCCCCCTGCCGGCGGGAGGCGGAGGCCGCAGGGTTCCCGCGGGCTGTGAACCGCGGTCCGCAGGGCCGGAGGTAACGCTCAGCGAGCAGCCGGTGTATGACTACACGGCATCGCTATTCTCTGGACAAACAGCTCTGCCACACCTATAATTAGAGCCTCTGTTACGGCTGGAGCAGGGCCGGTGTGCTGGGCTCTGTGTGCACTGTGCTGTTTGTGTTGGACTGGGCCCGGGGAATGGGAAAAGCCGCGGCGTGTTATGCAGCCATTCTGCCAGCATGGGCATCCTGGCCTGGCACCCTGTGGGCATGCAGCTGGGAAAGGGGCAGGGCTGCGGGACCAAAGAGGAATCAGTCCCCTGCAGAGGTGTTTATCCCATAGCGAGGTGTGGTCACTGCGCTGTGCCATGTCTGGCTTTAGAAGTGTTGTGTCACTCTTGTGTTGGAGTACCTGATAGGTATTGATGACTATAGGATGAGGTCAGCTGGCTGTGATCAACCTCCAGGAGCAGGAGAATGGAGGTTGAAGGTCCGCGGTGGGGCTGGGCTGCACAGAGGAGGCAGCTTGGGCTTTGCGTTGTGATCAGAGGCAGCAGAAGGCTGTTCCTTGGTGATTCCAGCTGTTGGGCTGCTGACGCTGGGTGAGGTTCTGTCCACAGCTCTGGTTAAGTGCAGAGCTGGTTTCAGAAGCACCAAGTCTGGTGGGTGAGGGGTGCCCCTACCTGCGGTGTCCCCTCTATTCTATCCTCACGCTCTGGTAAACAGCTCACTGGGCTACAACCCCAGGTGGTGTGAGCCCCTCCGGAGCGCCGTGTTCACAGCCGGCAGCGTTCCCACACGGAAGTGACAGCAGTTGGTGAAAGTGCCCGTGGCTCTGGGGAGGCTGCAGGGCGACCTCATCCCTCCCACTGCCCTGTGCAGTGAGCAGGAGGCTGCCGGCACCTTCAGCTCCTGGGGAAGGGCCTCTCTGCTTCCCTTGGCTGGGTAGTGCCTGTGCTGAAGGATCTCGCTTTGGCTGATGGAGGAACAGAAGGGGAGGAGGATGCGTGCAGAGGATGCCAGTGTTAAATCCAAGTGTTCTTTATGCGGGAACATAAAGTTGGATCCTCGCAGCCTGTTTGCCAAGCGACTTGGCATGACGGTTTGACAGTGATCAATAGCAAAGGCACACCAGCTCTTGCTCTGCTCGTGGTGGAGGCTTGAACCAAAGTCACCAGGGACGGCTCTGGAGTGATACAAAAATAGGCTTGCTTCCCCCACCCCATCCTGTTACACTGAGTGCTGTGAGATGGATCCTGAGCCTTCCTCTCCGACAAAGCCCAGGCACATAATGTGTGCTGAGCGATGTTCCCCAGGCAGGGCAGAGAGCACAGCCTCTGCTAATGAGTCTCTGGGATTTGTTCCTGCTGTGAAAGCACTGAGCAGCCGCGGAGGCTTGCAGCCCTGGGGCGCTGGAGCTTGCATTCAGTGGGGTTGCTGGCTTTTTGTGGCATGGCAGAAGCTTGCATGGACTTTGCTGGGATGGGGAATCTGCCAGCACTGCTGTTGTTGAGTGCATGCAGGCAACCAGCCCGTGTGTTTGGGAGCTTGGAGGTGAAATGCAGCGGTCTCTTCTTAGACGGGTGTGCTCTGGGGAGCTGAGCTCGGATTGAAATTCACCCTCACTCTCACGGCATTGCCAAGGAGGAGCCAGAATGTGGCAACCGAATCACAGGGCAAATTGGTGTGAAGACAATCAAGTTCCTGGGTGCTCTTGGACTGCATCTTTCACACCTGATCTGCAGTTTTTGTGGCCCAGCATCTGGATTTGGGATGACTCTGCTTTTCTGCTCCTTCCAGGATCTAAAAGAGAAGAAGGAAGTTGTTGAAGAAACAGAAAATGGCAGAGATGCGCCAGCCAACGGCAATGCTGTGAGTATGGCTGGATCTGCAGGGGGTGGCAGCCCTCGCTTCAGTAACTTTTTGTTTTCCTTCCCCTTCTTGCTTTTGCTACAAGCTTGTCCTAGTGTGAGAGGGGATCGATCCTACGAAGGCTGCCCCTGTGCTGTGCAGAGCCTTTGGAACTTGAGTTGAACAGAGTCTTAGTCTGCAGCAGTTGCTCTGTGTGCAGAAAGGAAGGTTGGGGCTTGGATGTCTTGATCCTTTTCTCAAAAGCCATGTTGGATTGTATCCATTGCTTCCTCCTTTCTAGGCACTAGAGAAGGTGGAGAAAAACGATTCTGGTATTTACACTGTAGCAATCAGTTGAATGGGGCAACACATTGCATACAAGTAAACGGATTGGTTTCCTATTTGTAATGTGCTATGGGAAACTCACTCTGCTCATTTCAATGTGTCCCGAGAGCCTCTGCAGACTTTGTCTTGGCCTCAAAGCTGCAGCCTCGAGTTACTACAGACCTGATCCTTCATGCCCAGGCTGCCTGCGTCGTGTGGGGGCAGGCAGGAAGCGAGGCGCGCGCCTGGGGCTCCTGTGGGCTTGTGCTGTGCTTTAGGAAGGAAAGGTGGGGATGCGTGCTTCTGCTGAACATCTCTTCCCCCTTCTCCCTTTCCCAGTGCGTTTTCTAAGTGATGTTTTGTCTTGCCAAGGAGAACGAGGAAAATGGAGAGCAAGAGGCTGATAACGAAGTAGATGAAGAGGAAGAGGAAGGTGGTGAGGAAGAAGACGAGGAGGAAGAGGGTGATGGTAACTTTCCTTGTTCCTCCTGCCCCAGCCCTTCAGCCAGACCCCGGGGAGCCGCAGGAGCTGAGAGCATCTCCTCCTTGTGGCAGCAGTGGGGCGGCTCTTGTCAGCTGAAGGCTGCCAGCTCCAGGGAGTGAAGTCAGCCTTGAATCCCTTCCAGCAGGTTGAGGGCAGATTCCTTCCTCCCTATTCCAGCCAGACAGCACCGTGCCACTGCTGCGCTCCATAAGCGCATTAGCCCTTCTGTGTGAGGAGTAAAACCTGCCCTTGACTCTTGTGATCGCAGCGGCTGTCACAAACGTGAGTGGGACAGGAGGCAGGCAGCCGGGCAGGCGTCGCCTTGCAGCACACAGCACAGCCCACCACCCTCACTGCGTGGGGACCCATGCAGTGCCCTCACCCAGCTGAGTGCTGTGGAAGCAGCAGAGGAACCTGTGGCTCTCTTCACTCCTCCCGCAGTGGCGGCAGGCTCTGATCTGACCCTTCCTGGTCCCCTGTCCTGGGTTTTCCTGCCCTCTCCTTTTCCTGACTTTTCCCTTCCTGGAAATGGGTTTTGGCAGCAGTGACCAGGAATCCAGCAGTGACTTGTCCACTCACATCTCACTCTCCCTACTTAGTATTTTTTTTTCCCCCCCAAGATCTGCTTGGATGAATAACATTGTTTATTTTTATCACCTATTAAGGCTGGGAGGAAACCATTCTTGTTACGCTGGAATGAGCTTGAGGCCCTTGATGAGTTGTTACTGGGTTAATCCCCTGTGAATTTTTGGTTAAGTGCTGACCTACTAACCTGTTAGTTTGGGGAGAGAGAACTGGGGCAGATGGGGCTGGAAATGTAATAAATGCTATGCCAGCATCTCTTTGGGCAGAACATAAATGGGAAGCCTCTGTCAGAGTAGCGCTCTGTGCTCAGCTTCTTGCTGTCCCTGTGCCCACAGGGAGCTGGCTTACTAGAGAAACGGAAAGGTGGCACTGCTCACACCCAAAATCTTTATCCTTGAGGACAGATCAGTGTGATCCTGACCCATCTACATCCAGCCCCACTGTTCTGTGGGAAAATCTTTTGTCTTTTCTGTGTTCCCTGGGGCCAAGAGAGGGATGTGTGTGCAGCACACATGTAGGGTGGAAGTGTTGCTTGGATACTGCTGTGATGAGCCCGGGGAGCTGCAGTCCCACAGTGCTGGCCCTGCTCTCCCGGATCACAGAGACTTGGTGTGCTCCTGTTGTGCCAGTGCCTTGCCAGGATCCCATGCATGCTCTGTCCTTCCCATCCCACTGCCCTCGGGTGATCCCTGCCCGAAGCTGCACCTGAGCAGCTGAAAGCTGTGGGAGGCAGATGTAATGGCAGTGAGCACAGCTTGTATCAGCATTTTTCCACCACTTGTGGGCAAACTGCAGCCCAGATTTTTTGACAGCAGAGGGGAGCTTGAGGGTATACTTTTTTTCTCACCCTTCTCGTCCCATCTCATTATTTGCTTTGCTTAAAGCTGCTCAAAGAACTAAAAATGCTCCCAATCAGCTTGGTGCTGTCACCTGACCCGCTGCGGGTGCTGGCTGCAGGGTGCTGATCCATCGCTGGGAGCTAATCTGGGCCCTTCCCACAGCATGGGCCGTGCGGTGGCTGAGCATATGCTGAGCAGAGGAGAGGGGAAAGGAGGATGGGCTGACCTTAATCCCCCCCAGCTGCCTGTACGTGTGGCTCGTGCGGCGGTTTAAAGCCAGCTTACTGGCCTTAACGCTGAAAGTTTTAGTAGGGTCTCACATTATGCAAGAGACTTGAAGGCAGCCGAGTGGTGGCTCTTCTTCCAGGGCCTCTGGTCTCACCTCTGATGCCCCAAAGCCACCAAACACGATGGCTGTTGCTCTGATCCACTGGCCTACTTGAGCTCAAAGTGGGTCAAAGCCCAGAGCTCTGCTCATCCTCTCCCGAGCTGCAGATAAGGTGGTAGCATTTGTTTGCCGTTCTGATAATTAGAAAGTGTTCTGACTCAGAACTAATACGTTCTGGCTCTCTTAACTCATTAAAGATGGACTAATAGCTGCAAAGGGAAGCAGAAGTAATGTGGAACACTTCAGCGGAGCAGCCACTAGGAAGAGTTTCCTTTTTCTGGATTTTTTTTTTTTTTTTCCTTGCTCTGTGCTCTTGGTGCTCGAGCACGGTGTGGATTTTGTGCTTCTGCTGTCTGAGGTATCACAGCATGAGCCAGGCTGGGTGCTGCGAGTGCCCTTTCCCTTCTGCCTGTGGGTCAGGCTGGCTGGGAGCTGCCCCAAAACTCCCGTTTCCCTGGGTGCCAGCTGAGGAGAAGCGATGTCAGGTGTTGAGAGGAGCTCACCTTCCTCTTCTGTTGTGTAGGGGAGGAAGAGGACGGTGATGAAGACGACGAAGCTGAGGGAGCCACAGGGAAACGGGCAGCTGAGGATGACGAGGTATGCGCACAGCTCGGCCCCCGAGGGCTTCCTGTGTCTGAGGGCTTGGGGGCAGCGGGGCACATGGGGCTGGGCTCTGGGACCCCAGTCCTGCCCATACGCTTCCATCGTCTCAGAGCAGTGTCCCTGTGGGATGTGGCCCAGTTCCGTTTACTCACTGCCCTGGTTGGTTAGCAGGGTGTCTGCACCTGCTGTGCTCATCCCAGGCTGGGGTCCTGGTGGTGGGATGAGTCAGGGGTGCTCCTGTCTCTGAGCAGGGAGCTAGAGGCTTTGGGAAATGTCCACCTTGTTCCCTTATCCCTGCAGGAACAGAGGGACTTTAAGCCTACATCTGCCCACCGTGGTGCCGTCCCCTTTCCCTAACATTTTGCTTTCCCTTTAGGACGACGACGTCGATCCCAAGAAGCAGAAAACCGATGAAGACGACTAGGCAGCAAATTATAATTATTTTTTTTAAATAAGGAGGAAAAACAAACCAACAAAAAAGGCCAGCGCGTCCTCTTCACCCCTGGGACCCCCCCCTCCCCTTCCCTTTCTCCCGTCGCAGCCCTCCCCACACGCAGCCCTTCCTCCCCCCTCGCCGTGGTCATCCTCACCAAGTAGAGTGAACCCCATCCCGGCCCCCCGGCGCGGCGCTGCCACTCAATGAGCATAGAAACGATTCGCCCGATCGCGGGGAGAAAAACCCCCCTTCCCACAGACCCCATTTTCCCCCCCCTCCCCGAGCACCAAAACTTCAAGGCCCTGCTTTCTTTCTTAAAAGTACTTTAAAGGAGAATTTGTTTGTATTTTTTATTTACATTTTATATTTTTGTACATATTGTTAGGAGGTCCGCCATTTTTAAGTGATCTCGGATTGACCAAAAGGGGGGCTTTGAAGTGTATATCTCTTGTTACCTATCTCTGACTTTACTTGTGGTGTGACCAGGCCCAAACCATTATCTCAAAGGAGAATAAAAGAAAAAAAAACTTGTAAAAAAAAAAAAAAAAAAAAAAAGAAAAACCTTTTTATCTTTGGCCTTGCCACCTCATACAAACCACAATCTATGGTACAGCTAAAGTACATACACAAAAAAAAGTTACTGGAATGCTCAGAATAAGATTGTAATTTTTTTCTTTTTTTTTTTCTTTTCTTTTTTTTTTTTTTTTTTTT